CAGCTCCTGGACCCCGGGTGGGCTTCTGGGGGAGGAGTCGGTAGCCTGAGTCCCCGCCTGCCTTGGGGTTGCTGCGTGACCCCGGGAGCATTGCTCAGGCTCTCTGAGCCCTTCCCCAGCATCCTCGGGAGGYGGCTGGTGGTGCCTGGGTGCCCGGGAGAGAGCCAGCCCTGCCCGGGGCAGTCTGCCTGCAGAGAGGCATGTGGCCCGACCTTGCCATTTCTTTAGGGAGACAGAATCCTGAGGCCGTATGTGAAAAGTCCTGATCTTTAAATCAACTTAAAACAGTCGGGCGCACGTAATCCCAGCGGCTCAGGAGGCTGAGGCAGAAGGAGCGCGAGTTCAAAGCCAGCCTCGGCAACAGGAGGCGCTAAGCAACTCAGTGAGACAAAACAGGGCTGGGGACGCGGTTCAGAGGTGGAGTGACCCCGAGTTCAATCCCTGGTACCAAAAAATGAAAAAAGAAACCTTTTAAACAAAACCCAGTTTTGTGGAGATCTGTGGTCTCTTTGGCCACTTTGGTTGGAAGGTTCTGGAAGACCGGGCCTTCTCCGCACTCCGGCTCCTCCACACCTGGCCTGGGCAGCTGCTCTGCCTGGGGTTCTCTCCTGCCCTGCGCTGCCCACCACTGCTGAACGTCAGTGGCCACCTCTCCTCCCTGCAGTGCCCCCTCTGAGCTGGGCGCCGGCAGCCGGGTCCCCAGCASTGGCAGCCCCTGGGCCGGGTAGGCCCTGGGTCACTTAAGCTGTCCCCTCCCAGGCCAGCTTGCCCTAACTGCGACCACTCTGACAGCGAGGGAAGCAGCCCCTCCGTGTGTCAGACCCTGACAATCGGTCGCTGCGACGTGGCCTCGGCGTTTCCAGTCACTTAGAGACCGAGCCGCGGGGCTGCCTCGCGGGACGTGGACCAGCTGCGGGGCCACGTGTCCCGGGCCCGGGGAGGGGCAGGACCCCGTCAGCTGGGGGCGTGGCCGGGGGTCACGTGGTCAGGACCCACCAATCACGCGCCGATTTGCGAATCAGCAGCTGGAGCCGTGGGGGGGCTGCACCCGGCCTCTGCGGAGGAGGCCGTTCTGGGGCAGCGGCTTGGGTCCGCGGAGGTCACCGTGTCATTTGCAGAAATGACTCTCGAGGTGACGTTGGGAGGTCAAATGCAATGTCCCGGGGCTACGACTTTGTGTGACTACCTGAACGTCCCCGCGTCTAGGAACGGGCGCTGGTGACAGTTACCGGCGAGGTCACAGCCGAGTCCGGTCTCACACTCGCTGCGTCCCCACTCGCTGGCGGGTCCTAGTCACGTTTCTCTGAGGTCGCCCTTTATTCTGCAGGTTGGGGCCCGTCCTCAGGGAACCGTTCACTTCCTGTGGCTTTTCCTGAACCCCGTGGCCGTCCACCTTTATTTCTGCGCTGCAGCCCAGGCTCCAGCCTCTTCTGCTCGAGGGCACCGCAGGGACCATCCCCACGGGCAGCGCTGGACCTGTCCCCGCCCGCCGGCCGGGCCTGGGGGAGCCCCTGGGAGCTGCTGCGGGCGGGGGGAAGCTCTGTGGGTGCTTCAGATCTTGGGGACCTGGAGCTACAGAGTCGSGCCCGCAGCAGGGGAGTCCCACTGTGGGTGCGCTGGGCTGGTCTCCAGAAGTCACCTACTCGGGCGGTGGCCAGGACGCGCTCCTGCAGTGAGCACTGGAGGAGCCTCTGTGGGGCCASGCCCTGGGGAGGCCAAGCCGCACAGCAGAGCAGCGGCCCCTCACCCAGCCAGGCTGCGGGAGGAAGGAGAGTCCTGAGGGAAGGAGGGGCCGCCACGCAGATGTCCCAGACAGTGTTCCAGGTGGTGGGAACGGCAGGCGCAAAGGCCCTGGGGTGGGGAAGCTCGCATCGCAGTGGACAGATAAGGAGTGGCCGAGGGGGCAGGGRAGACTTGGAGGCGATGCAGTCAGGGGCCAGCGGGCCTGGATGGCCCTGGGCGGGTGACTGTGGGAGAGGATGTGGGTTTTCCTGCAGGTGAGGTGGGACCATGGTGCGGCTGAGCACAGGAGGGGCCGGGGGTCTGGCTCCTCCACCTGCGCACCGTTGGCGCCTGGTGCGGACCATCCAGTGTCCTGTGCAGAGGAGTGTTGAGCAGCCCCTGCCCCACCCCCAATACAGTCATGACAACTGCAKATGTCCCCAGATGGTGACAAATGTGGCCCAGGGCGCTAGTGCTCACCGGAAGCCCTGTCTGACAGGGTCCCTCCTGCTGCCTGTGGAGAGCAGGGCAGAGGCCAGAGGGAAGTGGCTGCTCAGGCCAGCGAGAGTGGACAGTCCTGGGGGACGTGGGTGCAGTGGCGGGTTGGGATGGGTGAAGGGGGAGTGGGCAGGTGGGGGGCGGGCCCATGGTCCACCGTGGCGCCGTCTTCCCTTGAGGCTGGTCTGGGCCACCTTGGAGGGTCGCCTTCCTGGTGGCCAATAAGACCATTGGGGTGGGGTCACYCTGGGGCATGGCCTGGCCTTGGGCCGCCTGGAGCTTTCCGGCTGAGCTTCACAGTGCGTAGGCATYGGGGCCTGGACACGGGCGCGGGGTCTCTAGGGTGGTGGGCGCGACCCGGAGGCCTCGCGAGGTGCTCCCTGAGGAGGGGGCTCTGGGCCTGGAGGAAGCCCCYGGGTTCTGCCCCAGGGTGAGGAATCGACCCAGGCCCCGGGGGCAAGGTGRCTGGAGAGAGGGGCAGGTGTCGTCAGGGTGGACCAGCGGCGAGGCCGAGTGGAAGGCCAGGGCTGYGGCTCTGGAATGTTCCACGAGACCTGCTGGTGTTTAGGTGGTGGGCAGCCGCCTTTGGCTCAGGGCCTGGGGTCCTCCTGGGCAGGCGTGGGGCAGGGAGGGGCTCGCACTCAGCTCCAGGTCCTCAAGAAGGAGGGGACAGCGGTGGCGGCTGGGAGCCGGGCACAGGGCAGAGCTATGGGCCATCCCAGGAGGAAGGTGGGAAGGACTGGGCGGGAGGTCGAGGGGCTGGCAGGGAACAGAGGGACGAGGTCAGGCCGGGCGCCTGGCGCGCACCTGTGATCCCAGAGACCGGGAGGCTGAGGCAGGAGGATCCCAGGTTCAAGGCCAGCCTCAGCAACTCAGCGAGACCCTGTCTCTAAATAAAACAGAGGCTCAACCCCCGCACCGAAAGACAAAAAGGGAGAGGCCCGTCCGGCCGACAGGGGGCGGGGAGAACCCCAGGACACCTGGGCACGCTGACGAGCTCGCTGCGGAGGTTGGCAGCCGGGCGCACTCATTCCGCCGACCTGGGCTCCTGCAGCCCTGCGTCCACCCCGGGTCGTCCGGCCCGCAGCCCTCTCGCGGGGACGCTGTTCTCAGACGTCACCAGRCCGTGGTGAACCCGAGTGGGAACTTAACACTGAACCCTGAGGTTGGAGAGGACCCGGGGCGTGGACCCCGACTTCGTGGGCTTCATTCGGGGTCTTAGGGGCAGTGTGTCCCCCTCCAAGTCCCTACGTGAATCCCYGCCTCCCGGTGCCAGACTCGGAGGTGACGTGTGAAGAACAGCGGGTGTGTGACAGGAGGGCGGTGAGGCCCGGGCTCCCGGAGCGGTGGCCTTGCGGGGCCCCGGGTGCCCACAGGTGTCCAGATGCGGAGGATGGGGCAGTGGACAGGGGGCTGGCCCTGGGCCGGGTGCCCCGGGTGCAGAGGTGAGTCTGGCCGGGCACCACCAGGAGGGGTGAGGCGTGGGGAGCCTGCGGCTYGGGCAGAGGAGGGACGAGTCCCCAGCCGAGCTCGGGGAGACGCCATAGCGACTGCTCTCAGCCGTCCTCAGACCTGGGCCTTGGGGAGGCAGGCGAGGCTGGCCGCACCCCGTGGACGGGACAGGGCAGCTGAGGACGTGGAGGCCTCTGGCCCCTGTCCGCGGGAGGCTGTCCTGCCCCATTGCAGCAGATCCGTCTTAGGTGACGTCCACTAAGTCAGTGCATCCAGGGCCACAGAAAGCCTGGCCCAGAGGCTTGGTCACTTCGTCCGTCTTCCTGCTGCTCAAGGAGGTGGGGCTGTCCTGTCCTTGAACAGGGGACAGAGGGGCAGCCCCACGTCCAGGGCCCCCCACTCCACCGCTGCGCCATCGTGACGCCTGCCCCGCGTGCCTGGCGCCCTGCGGGGTGAGTGCCACCGTCCCCACTTATCAGATGGGTCAGCGGGGCTGAGCCGCGTGTATGGAGTCCCCAGGTCCAGTCCCTGGAGGTGTCTTCTTCTCACCAGCGGCCAGCGGCTGGTCCTCCTGGGCTCCGCCTGCTCACCCGATGGATGGGTGGTGAGCACTGCCAACAGCCCCCAGGACACAGGGCGTGGGGGTCACTAGCTCCGAGCCTGCCACCAGGTAGATGTCTTGGCCCTGGCCACCCTGGGCCTGCACCCGGGTGAACTCACGGAAGCTGCCCAGAGCGGTGCCCGCGCATAGTAGGTGGTCAGGAAACACGACCACAGTCATCGTCATGGACCCACCCACCACAGGGTGCAGCCCTTCGTCCCCGCATCCTGCTTCCTTCTAGTACTCCCTTTGTCCAACAGGCTGGCCCCAGTGTCCAGATTAGGAATCGGGGCGCCTCAGGCCCTCATGCCCCCGTCGGGACACAGTGGCGAGGGCAGGAGTCGAGATGGGAACTGGATTCCCTGTCTGACCCCTGGGAAGTGCCCTGCCCTCTCTGAGCCTGGGCTTCCCTGTCCATCTGCAGAGCTGGGCTCAGGGTGCCCTGGGCGGTGCCAGCCCCAGGGCCAGGGCCCTTCCTCGGTCCCCTTGGCCCCCGCCCCCCGGCGCCCCCCTCCCAGGCTGCGGGCTGCCCGCCTGGCTCGGCCGTGACGAGGACCCGGCAGCCAATCTGTTTACTGAACTGGCTGACCCCTTCCGGGAACGCGGCCCAAGCTTCCCAGAACTCGGGTATTAATGACCCGAGGCCACATGACGGGGCATGACACAGCACTTTGGAGAAAGGCAGGGCCAGGGGGGCCGTGGGGGCCGCAGCCCAGCCCCCACTGGCCAGGGGTGAGTCACGGCCTCCTGCCCGGGCCTCCTGCAGCTTCCTGCTCCCTGCGCTGTGGTCCCCCAGCTGGCCTGCCCTACCTCGCCAGGGCCACCCCAGGACCTCTGGACCTTGGCCTGGTGGCCTTGCAGAGGTCTTAGGTGACCCAGCTGCCCCCTGGGACCGTGACTGTCGACCTGTGTTCGAGGCCCAGGGGGCACGGCCTCATCCTGGACTTGCAACATGGAGAAAAGTGGCATTTTGACCCCGTGTGACGGCTGAGGAGCTGAGGCCCGGGGAGGGCTGGAGTTCTCCTGGCGGGGCAGGGGGCGAATGTGAGTGGCACTTCTTTCCTCTCTGTGGCTCTGGGGATGGAACCCAGGGGCTCTCCAACACCGAGCCACGACTCAGCCCTTTTTTAGAATTTTAGTTTGAGGCAGGTCCTCAGGAAGTTGCTGAGGCTGGCCTCCAATCTGCCATCCTCCTGCCTCAGCCTCCAAGCAGTATTTTGACCTTAGATCATACCCTTTCCTGGTCTCAGCAACCGGACAAGGGAGGGGCCAGGCCTCCCTTCAGTTTCACAGTGGGGGACACTGAGGCACAGAGGGACTGGGTAGCCTGCCTAGGAGTTTGGGCGCTTCAGAGGGCTCAGGGCTGGGCTCCGCCCTGACTCTGCTTTCCTGGCTCTGCCRGCCGCGTCCCCGTCTCCGCCCCAGCGCTGTGAGGAGCATCTCAGTCTCCGGGGACACCTGCGAGCCCACGACCCTCGCTGTCGGCTCCTCGGGCCAGCCCCGGGGAGGACCTGGGTGAGCCTCGTTTACTCGTTCACTTATTCACTCGGTCTTTATTTTTTCGAGCTCCTGCTGAGGCAGGCACTGGACTGGGTGCCAGGGACAGTGACAAATCTCCGAGCCACCGAGGAGGCGAGCATTTGACAACAGGACCTCAGGATCCGAGGCCTGGCTCGGCCCTGGCTCACGTGTGACTCTGGGCTTTGTCCGCAAGTGGAGCCACCTGTAGGGTTGTCATGGGAACGAATGACTTCATGCATGAAACCACAGGGGCTGTACACAGTAGGCGCTCAACTGTGCCTAAATGGAAGGAGATGCACCATAAACACACAGAGGGGTGAGTGCCCACAGTGAGCAGTGCTGTTGGCATAGTCAGCTCTTGGCATCAGGGGGCATGCAGTAGGTGCTCAGTAAGTGTTTCTCCTCCTCTGCCTCCTGGGAGTCAGCTTGGTTACCATAGAGGCCTGAATTTAAGGTCGGCCTCACTGATCCAGGACTGAGCCTGCGGGTTGGAGGCAGTGGAGGCCGGGCCTCCCCTCAGCCCCGGCCCCGCACCCGACACAGCGTGGCTGGCATCCTGGGTGGCGGGCGGGCCGGGGCCTGCCCAGCGGGTCCCCGTAATGACACTCATTACACAGGTGTCTGGCAGTGGGGGCCGAGGCCCATGGCAGGCGGCCAGCGCACCCCGGGCCCTTCCTGGTCCTTCAGGAGCGGTGCCCACGGGCAGGTGGAGCGGGCGAGGGGCTGGCACGGGGCCAGCTGGCGGCGGGGCGGAGGGAAAGCTGAGCTGGGCGGGGGCCGGGCCCGGGGTGCAGGGCTGCAGGTGTGCTGGGGGCTGCGTGCGGGGACAGGCCCGAGCGTCCCGGCTGGCCTCCGAGGGTGGACCCCAGCGCCTGTGGTGGGCGCCTCTGCCCGCGCTGCCAGGTGGTGCCCAGGCGGTGCCAGGCGGTGCCGGCCTGATGTCAGCCCCCGGGAGCCCAGACCCACGTTTCCAAACCGCCAGGCGGGGGTCGAATGTTCTCGACACGAAGGGCAGATGGCTGTCGGGGCCACGGCTGCGCCCATCACCCCCTCCTAGCGCGGCTGGTCGTGTTGGGCGTGGAAGCGCCACGCTGCGCCACAAATGTGCACAATTATGGGTCAATTAGAAATTTAAAAATCTTTAGACAGCGCTCCAAATCCAGGGAGAGAAAGACAATCAGGGGACGAGGACATCCCTGGAGCTTTGGTGGGGACTGGTGAGGAAGGAGGGAAACAGGGTGGGCTGGGGAGGCCTCTCCAGGAGGCAGCCTTGGCGTGGAGATCTGAGGGATGAGCCACCTGGGAGGAAGAGAGGAGCAGCAGGTGCAAAGGCCCTGGGGCAGCACCAGCCCAGCACATGGGCAGTCAGGAGCCCTGTGGAGGGGCGGTGGGGAGAGGGCTGGGAGGGTCCAGCTGCACAGACCTTGACCTGGGCGCCTGGGCATCTCGGTCTGTGGGGGGCACTCCGTCAGCGGCTGAGCAGGGCAGGTGGGTGTGCAGAGCGTGGGCCCGGCCGCGGGCTGTGGGAACGATCGGCTCTGGAGGTGCAGACAGGAACGTGGGCCGCGCGATTTGTGTTTGAACCTATTTGCCGAGTTCAACCCCTGGATCCCGGAGCCTGTTATTAAGCCGGCTGCACCCTGGGGCGCTGCCTTCATCCCCAGACAGGGCCTGGCCCGCCTGCCCCCCGGTCGACCTTGGCCCCCCAGATGGGAGTGGAGGGCGGGGCCGAGCACCCCACGCTGGTCCAGCCCCGCGGGCACCTCAGAGGGCCCAACCTGCTTCCCAGACAGGGTGGGGGTGCAGGGCGGCTCCACTGCCCCTCTGCCAACGGGGCCAAGTCCAGGGGGCGGTGGCACGTCCYGMGGCCTCCACCAGGAGCTTCCTCCCCTGCCCACAGCGGCTGCGGCACGGCTCTGGGTAGCAGGAGGGTCTGGGCAGGGCCGGGGGCCACTCGMGCTCGGGGCCAGCTGAGCAGGGGGCCTGGGCCTGGTGGAGGGGAGCCGCCAGACAGCAGCTGCCTCCCGCCACCAGGAGCCAGGGGTCTGGGTGCAGGCGCCAGCGTCCTCCAGCTCTGGGGTCCGCAGGACCTGCCCCCGGACGCCCYGTCCTCCTCCCCGTCCTCGGGAGGCCCCCCAACCCCAGGCACCCTCCTGCTCTCTGCGGCCACCGCAGACCCCTCACCAGGCGCCTCTCCTGCCTGCCTGTGACTGTGACCACGGGTGCCAGCCCCAGGCTTTCCAGATCCAGTCTCCCACCCGCCCTGAAAGGTCAAGGCTGTGGTGGGTCCATCATGTGAGGAAACCCAGTCTCAGAGAGGTCGAGTCTCTTGCCCAAGGTCACACAGCTTTGTGTGAAGCAGAGGACTCGCCCAGAGGCCCAGGCCTTCCTGCCGTCCTCTTCTTTCCATGTGGAACYCGGTTTTTCCTTTTCAAGGTGTTGCTCAGCAGCTGCCTCCTCCAGGAAGCCCTCCCTGACCCGCCCTCAGCCCCTCTCCTGGCCTTCCCTGGTCTCCCTGCTCGGCACAGCCTCCTGCGACCCTTCCTCCTGAACAGCTTTGCTGAGGTCACAGACGCACGCAAACCGCAGGTGGTCCCGGCTGCGTGTTGAGGAGGTGGGCCTGGTGCCCGGCCAGGCTGTGGGCACGGAGACTGCAGAGCATCAGTCACCTCCACAGGTGTCCTTGAAGCCTTGTGTCATGCAGCCCTCTCCGCGCTCCCGTCCCGGGCAGTCGCCGCCCACCCTGTTGCTGGGCAGCACTGCGTGTGTTCTAGACTGTTCTTTCCSTGGGCGTCATGGCTGGATCCTGGTGGGCTTCTGTCCCTGGCGTCCGGGTTCTGCAGCTGTTCCCTCCCCGTCGGGCCGAGCCCTGTGGGGACCCCTCTGTCTCCAGGACCCAGCACAGGGCCGGGCACACAGGAAGGGCCTAATAAGTGGGGCCAACTGGGAGGAGGGTAGGTGGCCTGTGGGGGAGGAGCTGGCCACCAGGAACCAGGAACCAGGCCGCGCTGAGCTGGGCCTCGTGCCGCTCAGRCGACTCTGTGCCAGGCGGTGGCTGGGCCGGCGCAGGTCTGGGGCAGGGGACCGGCGGGGGTTCAGGAGGCGCTTAGTGGTCGCCCGGCGCGGGGCCTGGCGGGTGTTCTAGAACCCTGCAGCCTGCACTGGGGCCTGGGCTGAGAGGGGCAGCGGCCGAGGGCAGAGGAAGCGGCCGGCGGCCCTCCCCGAGCCCCTCGGGCTCCTCTGCGAGGGCGCTGGGGGCGCTGGGAGCCGAGTGGGCAGGGCGGGCGGGGGCGGCAGGGGGAGTCTCTAGTTAGCGCGGGTGGTAGGGAGTTTCCAGTTCATGCCCCTCGGGCTGTGCCTCGCACCGCKGGGCTACCCAGGCGGTTTCCAGGTACCGGCCTCCGCCTTGAAGGCTCAGAGAGGCCCAGAGGCCTCCAGGTCTCCGCCATAGGCTGGATCGAGCTAGGGTGAGAGGAGGGCTGGGTGGGCCGCGCCTCACTCGGGACAGAGTCTGCAGCGAGAGGCCCGCTGCRCCCGGGCAGGCTTTGCCGTGACGATGACCTCATGGCCCATTTCTCAGACCAAACAGCCGAGGTCAGGAGTGGTGGAGCTGGCTGGTGCCCGGGGGTCGCCCGCGGGCAGGTGGAGCTCGGTCAGGGTCACTCTGGAGCGACTCCCCKGCAGTGAGGGCCTCCCTTTGGTACGAGGGACCTGGACCTGCCGTGGGCACTCAGCTCTGGGCGGAAGGCAGCAGTGCCCATGTGCCCGGCAGACGGAGACCGTTCAGTGGACTGTGTTTTCTTGTTGTGGAAACAGGACGTCGGGATCACAGGAGCGTTTCCCAAATGGGGTTCCGAAGGACACAGATTCTTGGGCTGTTCACTGGGATGATGCTGGGACTGGGTTCCACGGTCCAGGGGCCTGGGGACCACTGGGTTTGACGATGTTGAGGACTCGGAGCCTTGAACCCCAGAAGGCTCAGCCAGACCCAGGCCCGGGGGTCTGTGGGTCACTCGCCCTGGATCCCCCGCTGGGCCCCCCCCACCCGCCCTGTTCCCAGGGAGCCCCCGAGGGCGGGGCCGCGCACTCACCGCCTGGACCTGCCACCGGGAAGGCTGGAGGGAGGGGGCTGAGGCTGCGCCGGGACGGGGACCGTCCAGTGGGGCGGGATGGCTGTGTGCGTGGGCGGGGGCGCCGGGGACAGGTGTAGAGGGAGGGGACGGATGAGGGTGGACGAGCTGAAGAGGGGGTCGGCGAGCGAATGGGGAACTGAGCCCACGGTGACCAAGGAGGCCGTGGGGGGGGGAGTGACAGGCAGCTGCTGGAGGGACGAGGGACGGTGAGTGGAGGTGCGGCAGCCCCAGGTGGCGGACTGTGGTGGCTGACGAGGGGCGTAAACATGTGATTAAGTGATTAAGTAAATTAATAAACAGAATGACGGTAACAACAGCTGGGCGAGCGGACAGCGGATCCGTGAGTGGACGTGGATGAGTGGACCGGGGAGAASGGGCGGGGAAGGTGGA